TCATTTGGAAAGCATAATTCCAAACTGCTCTGATGGCCTTTTTATTTAGTTAAATTATATGGCAGGAAAAATAGAAACCGTAACAAATTGGCGTGATTTCCATTAAATAATATGATACAGCTAAAAATAATTCAGTAAACCCAAAGTTAAACTGTCCTCTCTGGACTGAACTCTGGTTGCACAGCCAAGGTTGCTGTTTATTACTTGTGTGCTCTTTGTCACGAGTGTCTCAGACTTCTCTTGATTTGCCTTTTATAGATTGCACATTCCACATTCCAAGGATTCTTACTCAACTATTTGTTTTGTATCCTCACGAGGAAGACTGTTTGAATGCGAGGAACTGGGATTTACAAAGTCCTCTTTGTTCACTGCAGACTGAAGCATCAAACACTCTCAACCTCATTCAAATTTTGGACTTTTACAGAAGCTGCTCTTATTTTTTTTCCATGTCTTGAAATGCTACTGTTGATGGAATCGTCATGTAGAGCTAAATAGGATTGTCTGGTCTCTACAAAAACAAAGTTTCAGCTCTTATTTTTCCTATTCAGCAGGAGGCAGAACTGGAAGTTGAAGATGTTGAGGCTCCACTTGGGAGTGATGATGATTGATAAGATTAGGAATGAGCTCATTAGAGGTACAGCACAGGTTGAATGACTGGGAGATGAAATTAGAGAAGCCAGACTGAGATGGTTTGAACATGTTCAGAGGAGGGACTCTGCCAGGAAAAAGACAGAACATACAGTATATGGATGCAGTTAGAGGACATGGAGGAAGTTGGAGTGAGGACAGAGAGGATAGAGTGAGGTGGAAGATGACTCACTGTGAAGACCCCCTAAAGGTAGTTGTCAGTTGTTTAATTAGTTTTATAGGCTACGGTCACACTGCAGGCAAATGTGACCCAAATATAGGGCTGGGCGATATGGCCTAAAATCAATATCACAATATATTGAACAGTTTACCTCTAACGATAAATGCACAATAACTATTACCACTACCACACACAAGTACACAGTATAGTTTAGTCACAACATTATACATTGTGTCCATGTTTTTAGTCAAAGTACACAGTTTAGTATTCTCTAATGAAGCATTATACAAGAAATTTAACCTGAACCAATTGGACCAAAGGGATTTGTAAGGAAGAGTTTGATTTTAAACAGCTTTTCTGTAGTTTTTTATTGGTCATTTTAGTGTTTTAATATATTTAATAAAAAAAACTTTTTTGGCAAGACTTGAGTCAGATATAGTCATACAAATATTCAACCATGTCCATAACTTGTCACACATTGTGTATGTATGTACTATAACTTTATATTTTTAAAAATGTACCAAATATATCTTTTGTACTTCACAAAATAACTTATCTACATGTTTTCATTTGTTAGACTGACTGATTTCTCTATTAAAATAACAATTTATTTCAAAATGATATTATTTAGAGAGCTCATGTAATCATTTGATACTATGTATTCTTTATATTTGATCATTTATTGAATCACAGAGCAGTTCAGTCACAGTATGGTTCTAAATATAAGAAACTACAAAAAGAACATAGCGGTTATTTTTTTTTATTTTTATTTTTTGTGGGGTGGGGGGTGGTGCCTAACGCTAAGCGGAGACTCATCTTTTCTATACTGGGGCAAACAAGTGTTCATCTGAGTTAATATTTTGGAAGAGCTGATACAGTGTCTCTCACAAAACAACTCAGCCTGTGCACGCCGCGCTCCTGTAACAGTGCTGTCGACGAGGAGAGGAGTTTCTTCACGTGAGCAAAGTTGGACATATCTGTTGGATAACGACGCTCTGAACACAAACATATAGTGTGTTAGATTTTAGATACCAACGTCTTGGGTAGCTCAGGATAGAAGTGTGGAGGACAGGGTTTTCTCACTCAAGACAGGAGCTGCAGGCTGACCGGTGTTTATCCTGCAGACTGCTGCACCGACATCAGAAAGACCCACCCTGCTCTGCTCTGACTGGATAAAGCTGTGGGGTTCGTTTGTTTTGTTGAAAGCAGGGTCTGTTTAAACCTGTATCAGACTGGGCGGCTTTAACAAGACAGCAACAGAAAACGAGCAGGTTCTCTGACATGGGCAAAATGATGTCTGTCATGAAATTAGCATATGATATAATTTATTTTCCCAGGAAAGTTATTTTTTTACCGGTATTATCATGAATGATATACAATTTTTTTAAATACGATTTTTATTTTATTTTATTTCATTTTTCCTCAGTGCATCATATCAGTTTTTTTCCTGACAGTGTGAACACGACATTCGATTTTTTTTTTCCCCGAATCCGACTCAGGCCCTTTCAGTATGTTGTATTAAACTGAACACACTGGATGTTTTTGAAAGTGACCTCAGTCCGAACTCTGTTCTCATTTCATCTGACTATACTTCAGTGAGATGGCAGTGAGTGGATCACTCAAACACTTGAGAATATTGATACTAACCTTGTGCAGTGTAAATCTTGGAGCTCCGCACATTTTCAGCTACAGAGCAGAAGCTCAGTTGCTTCTTCTTTGTTCTTTTAATTTTCCGTGTCCTGGATGACTGAGAATTCACAGAAACATGATTGTAATGTCTGTCTCGGACTGCATCGATACTAAAGTTACTGGACTGATACTTTACTTACAACATGTCACTTTTTGCAAAAAATGAAATTGGAATCAAGCATTAAAACCTGCATTGTGAACATAGCCATAAACTTCTCCTAGAATTTTATTTTTTAAAAAGGTATCTGTTCAGACTACCAGCAAATTTTGGTAAAATAATCATCAAATCACTTTTTACATTTGTCGTCACACACTAACAACATGCAAATACAGATTAGACAATTGATTTTACTTGAAGGATTGTTTCATTGAGCTGTAGAGGGACCAACACATTTATCAACATCAGCATAAAAAACTTCAGCTTTTCTCTTCTGTTGCTCCATGAAGCTGTTTAGTGTGAGTGGAGGCAGATGATTTATTCTAGTGCTCCTAAAACCACTTTGTAGCACTAAATACCATTTAATTACTTTAATAAAAGTACACCAGTCAGACTGAGTAAATGCTGTTAGGTAAGTCACATGATTTAATGTGTGTTTCAGTTGCAGCTCATGCCTGTGTGCATCGAGTACCCGGCCTTTTGTGAGTGGTATTTGGCATGTGGCTGCTCTATAGACGCCCTAGACGTTGGTATGCATACATCAGTCTCGGCTTTGCGCTCTGCACTTCCTGCCACTCATCCCGTTGTAAATGAGAGAAGGGAAGCCCGAGTCCAGAAAAATGTGGCAAACACTGCCACAGATGCAGTCACTTCCTCATTCTTTCTCTTTCTCCGTTCCATTCTTTTCCTTTATTTGACTGTGATGAAGGTAAACACAAGGGAACAATGGCTGTGCTTAAGCGTTCCTTAACCTGAATGCGTTCTTTAGCAGTGAGAAAAGGATATCTTGGTTTTTTTTTTTTTTTTTTGTCTGAGTTTCAGCTACACTCAGCTGTTTGGGACTAAAGAAAACAGACTGAAAATAACGGATAAAAGCAATGTCACAAATGTATTTTAGATGTTCTGTGTAAAATTTTTGTTTTCGTTCTTTTTTCTTTTAAATTATTTTTTTTTACAACTTTCAGCTCCTACCTATGCAGACAAAATTAAGTCCTTTTCATGAAGTAATGTTTGTCATTTTATTAAAAGATGGCATCAAAAATGATTGCAGGAAACCGTAAAGTAAAGAGCACAGTCTTTTTGTAAGTAAGAAAGTTCAGGTGTTAATAGTGTGCGGAATGATTGATAGGGTGTGTACAGATTTACTGTACATAATCACTCATTTGTCATCACAGTTGGAAAAGGACCCTTGCGTCATCATAGTTTTATTACATTCTTCATGGTTTTTAATGCAAGTTATAACAAGGTGGAAATGGATGGAAGACCTGACTAACCTCAACAGGCCTAAACTTTGACTTCTCCCTTTGACACATTTAAGAGCTCGTTGTTTCTCTCTTAATCACAACCACCAGGCATGACAGTTCCGCTTTGATTTATTTATTTATTTTATCACCCATACTAAAAAGTTCTCACTTTTTATTTGCTTTGGAACATGTAGAAAATCGCTCACATCTGCGGACAGATAAATTGTGTTTTTATCGTCAGTGTGATATTAACTAATAAAATAAAGTTATTCCATGAAATGCAGTGAATAAGAATTTGCACTTCATCAAGAAAAGCTTATTCTAGGTTATTTACTTTAATGTAATTGGCATATATTCACAACTTCAGTGTTTATTTTTGGAGTTTAAGTCACAAAAATCTGTTAAAATTCAATGAATATGAACACTGTAGGTTTTATCACTTCTAACCTTTGATGACCCATATTATACTCTTTTTAATTTGACAATATTTTTGCAGCATTTTATTTGTTTGATTGTATGCAACTGTAAGAACTATTATTTTAGTGTGATCAGATTTCTTTAAGTCAGCATAACTTTGGATACTTATAAGAGGTTAATCCGTAGAAATTCAGTTTTATGTAAGTTTTATATTTTTTCTTACAAGGTGTAAACTTTGAAACCACATAGTTTTCATCTGTTATCTTTTATTTGTTAAAGGGACATTTAGCTTTTTTATGGCAGATTGTTTCAGCAGATGTAGGATCCCATTCCACAAATGCTGTGATGTTTTAATTTGGTGAGGAGAATAAGATGCTTATCTTCCCGATAAGGCCTGCTTAAAGCAGGAAACGGAAAAGGGATCACTTCGCTTGGTGATTACAAGTAATGAGTCAGCAGAATACGAATCTACCACATTTTCTGTGGAATGACTTGGTGAAATGTTGCAACAAAGTAATTCAGCCCCTGAAGGAAAACCAATGCAGCTGTGCATGATAAAGTAGAACAGAAACCTTCACAAATGAACATTTCTTGATTTGAAAAGGCAATTTATGAACAGCTGGCATGAATAAATCTGGTCTTTTTATGGTGAATGTACTTCTCTAATTTTGTTCTGCCTTTGCAGCTGAATGAAGGGGGCAAGGCAGTCAAAGCTGGGATGAGCATCGGAGACATCATCCTTTCTATTAATGGGATTTCCTCAGAACGCATGAATCACCTCGAGGCCCAGAACAAGATTAAGGCCTGTACAGGCAACCTCAGCTTGACTCTACAGAGGTAAAGGTTTGACAAACACAAATCCTACAAAATACTCTGTAACATCATGTTACCCAGATCCTCATATATAGTTCATAGTGCACTTTTCATCAGTTTAGGGCAGGTAGTGTTACAGAAAGCTGTTGTTGCAGGCAGAGCGAGGGCTGGAGAAGTAGAAGCTGAGGAGCAGCCAAACAGGATGAAAAGTGAAATTTAAGTTGAGATCTTTGAATAGACAAGAGGCGAAAGCACAAAGGGGGAGGGCATGGAGCCAGTGTGTTGGGTAATTTAATTAGGAAAAGGTGCACCGGTCCACACCCACATTCTTTTCCACACAATGCTAAGAAAAAGCAGGCAGAGACGTGAGATACACAGAAGGAAATGGAGGTGGTCACCTGTTTACTTGGAGGGGAGAAGACATAACTGTGTGTTCTGGTTCAGGTGTGTTGTTAGGCAGACATATTTTCAGTGAAGAGCAGCTCTCGTGTGTCAGACGGAGACAAATGGAGGCAAAGCATGCACACTTTCTAAGCTGTAAAACATGTCGACAGCAAAACTCTCTCCTTTGCTTGTCCTGTCATTCCATCTCCACATCAAAGGAAGAAGACTTCTGTTTAATCGTGGGAATGCCATCTGAAAATGGTACCATTCCACAGCTGTATGCAATCTGGTGTGTTTGGGTACTGGAAGCAAAATGAAACATTAAACATTTTAGTTTTATAATAAGTGTAAACCAAAGTAAATCACCCAATAAAAAACAAATGTTGTTCTAAATGTGACTAATTGTAGTCGATTTTGCTTGCAGCATCAGTTTTGAAAATTGGTTTATAGTTTTTAGAAGTTTTAGTTTATTTAAATTTCTTGTGTAGATGCATAAAATTTGAGTTTAAACATTTGCTCTTTGTGTACATTATTCGAAAATAAGCTGTAATTCGTAATCCAAAGATACAGTATAAGAGCCACTTTTTCTAAGCATTGATTTCAGTGCACTTCTTTTCTAAATCAACTCCTTTCCAGAATCTAAAATGTAGCAAAAGGTAAAACTAAAACAGCTCCACTTTCCTTTTCACCGATTCATTTATGGTTTTGTTCAGTGAGAGGACTGTTGACATTTAGAACAGCACTACACAAGTCCTAAGAGATGATTAATAGGAGATTTTTGCCCCGTTATGTCACTTTTCTCTGGTTTAGATTCTTCAAGCACTTCCTTAAAAAGACACTTGGACATCCAAACTATCTGGAGGCAGTTTATCAAAACAAAGTCCTTCAATCCATTGTTTATTTAGAAAGTTCTTGAAATTATAATGTTGAAATAAGCTTCAGGTATTCACACACACTTTGTTTTTTGAAGCAATTTTTCAATCAAATTTAGATTAGGAAAAGTATGAATGTAATGTCAGGCCTTGCAAAAGCTGCAGCCTTACAGAAATAGCACTCACTTCTTATTACGCTCATACTCTAGTAGAAGACTTACCGCTTTTTATATCCATTTAGAACTCCACTAAAAGTGTACTTTCTTAATTATGCTTTCAGTATGATTTCATTACTCTAAGAAATACTCTTCCTAAATCATTTGATTCTGTTTTACCAAGGCTAAAAATGTTCTTATCAAAGAGGAAATGGACTGTGGAAGTACACTCCTTATCCTCCCGTCATTCTAAGAACATGTTGACGTGTTGAGGCGAGTGACAGAATACTTCATGTTCTGTTTGACAGAAAGTGGCTAAAGTTGCAGCATTTTGTCAGAATGGTGTCTTGTTTAATAAAGAGCACAACGTCATTAATTATTACCAGAAAAGGGAAAGTAATCTTTAATCCAGTTTATTGCTCTATTCAGTCTTGTTAGGTCAGGCTTTACAGCACAGCTTGTTTTATTTTCAGACACATGGGTCAAACCTCCAGCATCACGTGTTGTATATATGACAATAAAACTGTTAAGTCAACGTGTTTTTTGTTTTGGGTTTTTTTTTTGCCTGTGATATTTATCTGGGCCATAGGAATAGGAACTGTGAAACAGAAATTGGACAACACCAGAATTATCCACAGGAATACAGCATGTTAACCAATAGACATGAAAAAAGGCTGACTACATGGTGAAGATGGCTTCAAAGTAGTCATTTCCTGAACTTAAATGACCTGTGTCAGTAAGTGCTCAAGACAAAAGTCTTCTAAGGTCGCTGTTAATGTTAAAACATACAAACGGGTATTATTAAATGACAGTTGTTAGGTATACTTAAAAGTGAAATGTTTAAAATTATGAGAAGTATAGACATTGAACCCTAACAGTTATTTAGAAGGCAGGGGAAGGAGGGAGATTTGTTTGCTTTGTTTGGCTCCCAAAAAGAAGAGAAACTCAAGATTAGAAACTTTATATTCAGCACTTTTTAGTTCAAATTGACAGCTCCTTGGATAAACAGAAAACCTTTTAAAACAAGAAAATAGGTCCTTTCACCCACTTCCAAAAAAGATTGACATACTAACTACAGAACCTGCTTTAGAACAACACTGTTGAGTTTAAGGAACTATTTTAACAAGTGACTGATCCAGAGAATGTGGACCAAGGCTACAGTCGCTCAAATGCAAACACGACTGACCATCATATTAATCATTATTAGCTAAATGCCACAATTAATCATGATCAATTTTTTTTCCAGTTTTGCTCAACCCTACCCCGATCAGTATTAGCAGCACTGTAATTATGTAGGTTGAATGGTAAATGGTCTGAACTTATATAATTTATTATATAACTTTATCAATTAAAACAAACAAAGATTTATATCCAGAAACAATTTTTCCACCACATTCAGTACCATGAGTGTAAGAACCTGCTCCATGAGATTAATACCAGCTTAATCTCATAAAAGTCATGTCCCACAAGATCTTGCAGAAGGAAATCAGGAAATAATGAAACACCCCTCTGATCATGAATGAGAAAAGAACTTGTGACCTGAACAGATCTCTCAAAATAAAGTAATTTATTTTTAGATATATGAACAGAATAAACATACAAATATTATATGAATAAAAACACAAGTTATAAT